TGTGTATTATTTGACTAGTCAATTTATGTAGTAATCAACCGCGGGAGCGGGAAACAAATTAGAAATCCAAGTACTGAAATACTCATGGGATCTCAACATGGTGTAAAATAAAATCTTTGATCGGGAGGTTAAGTGAGTGAAAAATATTATTATTTCAAAGGCAGACAACTGTTTTAAAATTTTTTGTGTTGCAACAATCTTGAGAAAGGCATTCAGACACATTGAAGAGCAAAAAAATGCATGAACCATAATGCTTGCCTGCCTACATTAGTCCTTTTTTATACCCCCTGCTTGAAAAGTGTGAGGGTATTTATTAATCGGGATGTCCTTCCATCTGTTTGTTACGCTTTAGGTATGCCCTTCTCTTATCCGCAACTCCTCTTACACCACTGAATGAAATTTTCATAAAATCTTTATTACACACTGCCGTTGTGCACCTTCTATTACCTTTTCATCCTTCACATATTTTGGTTTTCCAATTGCAAAACATGGACACTGTCATAATATTAATTCATACATGCATTAGAGGCGGTTGATCATTTATATAACTCACTGCTCACAGTACCTCTTGTTTATCTTCAGATTTGTAATATATTTTTCCTTGGCACCTTTACCCATGTGTTATAAAAATTTCAGTTTCACGGGAATAATATCAATGTTGATAAAATGTGGATTTTCACACTGCATCCTTTTAAGAGCTAACAGGTTTGTTATATAAAACTTCTCAGTGAATATAAATGATTTTCAATTACACGAACATTATACATGGAGAAAGTCAGAACTTAATTTGTTTTTAATATTGTGAAGAAAAAAGCAATACCAAGTTAAAAAACAAATATTTAATGACCATAAATAAAAACAGTGGTATATGTAAGAGTTTGTATGCGTACAAATTATCTAGTATGTAAATGAGCTTTACATTTTATTTTTTTAAAAAAATATATACTTCATTTTGTTGTTTTTAATCACTATCTTACGAAAACATCGGTGTCCGTCTTTGGTTTTAACATTTATAACAAAGTACTAAATTTGCCGCTTTTTGGCAGGTGATACTGCTGATTTAGTAAAACATACGCATGTTTCCTAAAGTTTTTACGCATAAATGAATTCAGTTAAACCAAGAAAATGTTCATGAAAAGTTTAAATAAATTCTGTGCACCAACAAAAAAGAAATTGCTGAAAATCCAAAATCTGGGACCTTGGGGATTCGGGCGTCGGGAAGACTAGTTTTACCGCTTTCCGTCAGTATGTAGAATTGTCGTTCGTATCTCTTTCATTGCTTATAGATGACGCTACACTAAAAATGAGTTCCATTACGAAAAACTTTTGACGTTCTTTATAATTTAATTTTACTTTGAACGAAATCCAATATTCGAAATAAAATTACTTTATTATTACATTTACTTACATTTCAAATTATAAAAATTAGATCCATTCAGAATAAAATGACATGAACTATTTATGGGCTGGTGGATGTTTATGCATGGTTTCTGTTGAATATCATAAGTAAATTGGTCGACACAATAGCCTCGCTTTTGGCTCTATATAATCAACACAAATTACTGCGCATGTTACTAGGATAAAATTTACAGAAAGAATTTCTGAAGTATTAGAAGGAGGTTAAAAGGACAAACTTTATTTAGTTCCATAGAAGTTAGCACACCCATTCGCACAATAGAACTATCCAAGGAAAAGTCACGAGCTTACTGAGATTTGGCGCGAAAAAAGCCATCCACCCCTTTCGTAGAAAATAAATGGACTGATCCAGTAGTATAGAAATAGAGAAAAAAGGCTACACGGACATGCTGAAACGGCGAATCACATGAAATAATTGTTCCATGCAAAAAGATTAAAGGAAGTAAACAGTAAATTATTTTGCATCAGTAATATCATTTTTTGGCTGAAAACTGTTTCTTTTAAATGCAGATAAAGAATTCCAATGTAAATCAGTTCACACAAAATCTAGCTCTCTAGGTATGATCTATTAGTTTCGGATCTTGCAAATATCAATCCTTAGACAGCCTGACGCCGTGACGTCAGGCAAAAAGATTTATCGAGAAAATTAATCGTCGCGAACTTGCTTACCCTCGATGAATCGCGAAATAAAGTTGTCGCGAATAAAAGTTGGTTAACAGTATTATATTCAATTTAATTTATAATTACCAATCCAGAAATCCAGTCCCGCGTCACCAAATCCCTTCTTGTATTTCTCCCATGCTCTATCAAAGCTCACAGATCCATTTACACGTTTTTGAATTGCCTTTCAGAAAATACATTTATCTCATAATCAATTTTTTTTAGCAATTGACATGTATTGACTTTGGGTTGTGTGTGTCTGATCAAGGACAAAAACAATATAATTCTTTACTCTAATATGTCATTTTTTAATAAAAAAATGAAAAAAAATACCGTCCAGCCGCCTCCCTCTGTGTTCATGTCACAATAAACACTGATAGGACTGGTGTCTGTACCATAAGGATAGATCTCATATACACCGGAATCAGTGTGACCATTCTCACGGAGTTCCTTACAGTCAGCACCAACTACTGATATTGGTTCTAGAAATATATGCAAGTTTGAAAAAAGGACATTAAATTTTTTTTTCCTTTTTACTTATAAAATAAAACGTATAGAGATAAGGAACCTTATTCAAGATCACATAGAACTGTCCAAACGGGACAACAAAAAAGCCCGCTGACTTTTCAGAGGCGTGCCAAATCATGAATATTTTATGAAAGAGATGTTCATAAATTGCTGATCATTATATCTTAAATAAATGAAAATAAGATGCAGCCTATTAAAAAATCAATACAAAGGACAGGGTTTGAAGGCCACAAGTGTTTTCTTCTTTACACGCATAAAATTTTGCACAAATGCTGCTTCAAATGAATAAAAACTAGAACTGCCCAAACGGGACAAAATATCCCTGCTGGGTTTTTCAGAAGTGCTAAGTCATGAATATTTTATGGATCTAAGAAAAGAGAGAAATGCTAAAACGTTTTTGGTGCAAATGTAATTGCTCATTTTATTTTTTTTTTTAATGAAACGAAGGCGCAGCCAAATAAAAAAAATAGACTAAATATACAGACCAGACAAAAGTTGTGAACTTTTTCTGTCAGTGACATCGAACTTGTATAAATGACCTTTGTTCAAAGTCATGGCACAACCTCAGGTCATAAGCAATGTTTGTTTGAAGTAGTAGATTCAAGTTTTTCCATAATAAAGATATGGACCGGACATATATTATAGAAATTTTCTTCCAGTGACCTTGAACTTCCCCTAATGACCTTGACCCAGGTCATGACACGACCATAGGTCATGAGCAATCTTTGTGTGAAATGAAAACTTACCAAGTTTATCCATAAGAAATATATGTACCAGACACGAATTATGAAATTTTTCTTCAATTGACCTTGAACTTTCCCAAATGACCTTGATTCAAGGTCAGGACACACCCTTAGGTCAGGAGGAATCTTTGTGTGAAATTAGAACCTACAAAGTTTATCCATAAGAAAGATATGGACCGGACACAAATTATGAAATTTTTCTTCCAGTGACCTTGAACTTCCCCCAAATGACCTTGGGTCAAGGTCATGATACACCCTGGGGTTATAAGCAATCTTTGTGTGAAATTAGAACCTACCAAATTTATCTATAAGAAAGATATGGACCAGACACGAATTATGAATTTTTTCTTCCAATGACCTTGAACTTCATCAAATGACCTTGCATCAAAGTCATGACGCACCCTTAGGTCATGTGTAATCTTTGTTTAAAATGAGAACCTACCAAGTTTATCCATAAGAAAGATATGGACCGGACACGAATTATGACATTTTTCTTCCAGTGACCTTGAACTTCCCCAAATGACATTGTGTCAAGGTCATGACACACTCTTAGGTTATATGCAATCTTTGTGTGAAAAAAGAACCCACCAAGTTTATCCATAAGTAAGATATGGACCGGACACGAATTATGATTTTTTTTCTTCCAGTGACCTTGAACGTCCTCAAATGACCTTGGGTCAAGATCATGAGACACCCTTAGGTCATGGGCAATCTTTGAGTGGAGTAGTAGATTCTAATGTTCCTCCGTAAGAAAGATATGGACCGGACACGTTTGCACAGACAGACAGCTAGACGGACGGACCGGACAAGGTGATTCCTGTATAACCCCCCCCCAAATTTCGTTTGCGGGGGTATAAAAAATAGGTCTGCTAATAACGGAGCGAAACTGGTACCCATTGAAATTCCAATAGATTGTTGGAATACCTTTTCTCAAAAAACCACTTAGATATTCTCAATCAGAAACTCAAGCATCTCTACAAGAAAAGGTATACCCCAATTTCAATGCCTATATAATGTATAGATTTGCACCCCTCGGTCCCGACGCCTATGAAACAGACATGATTTCTGATAGGTCTATATATCACTTATTACCTCCCCCACTTCCGCTTAAATCTTAACTATGCTTGTATTACTGAGCAGGAAATTGGAATTCAAGAAAAGCAACGTAATTTTACACCCTGAGTTGTTTAATGATTTTGAATTATTAGGGTCATTTCCTTCGTTGACCCATTCCTAGATTGTAGATTTAAGTTTGATCAAATTATCATTCTCCCTTCCTTGGGAAGGAGGAAGAGGCGACAATGGCGATTGTTTTGGCAAGGGAATATGTAGAAAAAAATCTCTTGTTCAAGAACAGCACAGACACTAGTTATACTGATGTAGAAGAATCTTCAGTAAGTTTAGAATTAAAAGTTTTAATTCAGTCCAACCCCGGTGTGAAATCTATTGAATGCTTAACCGACTTAAGCTTTTTTCCTATCCAATGTGCTAAGCATATCAATGTGCTTAGGTAAGCATATATATTATTTAATTATTTAAAAAAAAGAAATACTTAAAAATGCCAATACAAAGATGTTTTTTTTCAAACCTTGACAAACCAAGTCCGTTATCCAGGTCCCATTTTTATGGCACACGATCATTCCGGACCCCCGCTGTTCAAAGGAATCCAAGCATTTAATGTGCATTCGTTTTCTTATTCCTATTCCTTCCCAGTCCTGCACATTCCACGTGGTATTTTTTATTATATCGATAGGGATCCCACAATCTGATAAAGAAATTTTTTGTCAAATTCATTAACATTAACATTACCTTAGAAAAAGTAAGATTGGTTGATTGTATGTTCTTTAGCGCCCCCCTCGAGAAAAATTTTTCACTCAAATGAAGACGCAACCACTTGTCGCTACAGATTTCGTCCCATACTCGGCATTTAGCAGTAATGGAGTTTTTTTCGTGCAATCACCAACGATTTATATACGGTCTCATCCGAAAGACTGGTCTCCACGTCCCCCAGTGTGCTTTAAAACCCGCGACTTAAAAATTGACTCCTTTCTTGGCGACTGACACTCTAACTACTGCGCCATGCGGGCAATATTTCTAAATATGAAAAATATAAAAGGTATTTTAACGCTGGGTGAAATGTGGCAAAAATGATGAAAAGATGTTTGGTTGTTAAAAGAAACGTGAAGAAATTTATACGCCATGAATGAGAACATCCCGAGCGACAATTGTCGGACATATTTGGGCAGTTAACAATTCAGCTTCGGTTACAAAGCTTTTTGTTCGTCTGTGTGCTTTAAATCTCTATAATAATGACTTCATGCATGACAACGACAAACAAACTTCACAACGCAAATAATTTAAAAACGCAGCTATGTTAAGGTTTTCAGAAGCATTGAATTGCATTCATAGCATGTCCTAAAACTATCAACTTTTTTCTAATTTCAATATACTTACTATATAGTATTAACGTTAAAATTGATAACAAGCACAAATGATCTTTCTTGTGATATCACATCAACCTGTTGATCACGTGACTGTCATAACCTATAAAGTGTTGCACTTAAAAACGCTGCGGCGGAGGTGCATAATGACTTTAATTTACACTATATTACTTATACAAAAATAATCAGTATATTTTATATTCCAGAAAGTGCCTTGGATAGGATATTATACAATTATTGCTGTGTTTTGAGGTCAATACAATGATTTAGCCATCTGAGGAGTACAATATTCACCGAGCCCGGAGGGTTAATTGGTTAATAAAATAATAATACCCATTACTTGTTTGCATTTAATTACTAGTAAGTCCTATCCAAATACAATTAAGAGAGATACAGAATTAAAATGTTAATCCATCTTATAGGTCGTATTTATTTTTTTAAAAGTTTTTTTTTATCAATTTTAGTTGCTTTGAAAATAAATTATGTCAGTCTTTTTCTAGGATAGATTTGTAAAGGAAGGAGTATTAGCAGGGAAAACTGACTTCCAAAAAGTTAAAATTATTGTTCAGTAAAAGTGTAGGAGGAGTGTCCCTGCATCCCCTGTTACCACCATCACCCGAAAATATATATTCGCTTATGTTTTCTTCACATGAAAAAAAAAATAATAGTAGTTTAAATAGCTTTCCAAACTAATTTGTATCAATTTGGAATATCCCGATCTATTTTTAGATCAATGTAGAGGAAATCAATCCTTGTATTGACCTGCAACGTCACGTGCAGGTCAATACAACGTAATATTTCTCTAACATAGTTGGATCTCAGCCAATCAGAGAGATGGAAATTATTCAATCATATAATAAACATCATTATTAGTGTATTAAGAAATATTTAATGGGAATTTCATTTTGAGGGTTATTCCTCTCATCGAAGAGATAAATATATAAAAGCAAAGCGGTAAGAAGTCCAACGAAGTAATAAAAATTTTGAAAGAAGCATCCTTATTCATCATAAATGCACTTCGTTTATCTGCTCAACACTAAGTATTACAGAGGATTGCTAAAGAGAATAAATGCATTTCCACTACCTTAAAGCAGCTGAATTGTAAACATAAGCCTGACTAACCTAACACTACAGGTCCTGTAATGCAAAAAAGTTCTTGTTTCGGTTCACTTTTGGGGAAAATATCTCAACTTTCAATCATTAGTCAATCAACCACCTTTCACTCTCTAATTCAAGACACATTCTGTAACCGATTTGTATATTTTACAACTCTAATGTCTCTACAAGTGATTGACTCACTAGATTAGAATTATTTGATGGATTGCTGAAAATTCAGTTCAAACGAGTTTATCGCCGGAGGAAACGGATATAAGGGGTTGGTAGGTGGAAAAAAAAATTAGCATTTTTATTTAACATTTCATTTCTTTCATTTTACTTCCAACTTTCAGTAAATAAGTTTTTTTTCTAATCTCACCTGACAAAACGCAGTCGAATTGTCCAAAAGCTTTTGGGATGCATTTTTCATTAATTTCACATGGTGATCCTGCACATGATTCCGCGAGAACCTGAAAATTATATACAAAAAAGAAATAATTCTTGTTCAAACGATGAAAAATTAATGAAGTTTTGAACCCAAATATCCTTTTAAAAAAAAAATAGAGACAATCAAGTTGTTCAACAAATGAAAAATAATGAAATTATCAACCTGAAAAGTACTGATAAAATGGAGATAATTCATGTTCAACAAATGTAAAGTAATGAAATTTTGCAAATGTAGGAGTCTAACTTAATGACGTTTGTGCCACCAGTTTTAGTCATTAGAGCAACTGAAAATTATGAGTAAAGATTACAAATTTTAAGTTTCCGTGGTTAGAGCGTCTGCCTTTAGGGTCGCCATGTAAGGAGTTGATCCTTCCGTCGCGGTTTCTAATCCCACTGTGGGACGTGGAGACTGGTCCTTCGGATGAGACCATATAATTCGAGGCCCGGTGTCGCATAAGGTGCTGGTACAAAACAGATCTTTCCCTGCTTAATTGCTCTAATCATGAGTGCCGAGTATAGGACAAAATTTGTAGCTCCCTAACGGCAAGTGGTTGCGTCTCCATATTAGTGAAAAATTCTCTAGAGGAACGTTTAACTACAATCAATATTAGATAAAAATAAATGATAACGACGAATGCAAAGGGCTCTTCTGAGTTGACATTATCATCTTTATAACACAAATGTCATTAGCTTTTGTCATGGAAGCAATTGAATCAAAGATATTGGTAAAAAGACACCTTGAACTGGTTTTCTTCTAAAGTTCAAAAGAGAACATTTTGGGTTATAAATATTTGAATATAAAAAGGTCAATTATATCCTATCCGATCTTTATTGTATACCATTTGATTTCAAAACAACATTTAGTACTTCTTAAAAAAATATTTTAGCCATATACCGTAGATATTAATTTGATGTTGATAATTGACCATGTGTTTTCTAACTAATTACACGATTACAAGTGAAATAAATAGAGGATATTCAATGTTTTGTAGTTGAATATGGAATTTATTTCACGAGTGGGTCAGGATTTTTTTATTTTTCACGAGTGCGAAGCACGAGTGAAAATATCAAAAAATCCTGTCTCACGAGTGAAATAAATTCCATATTCAACTACAAAACATTGAATTTTCTATTTATTACATTTTTCTTTGATTTTCCCTTTTCCTCAGTCATTTTCTCATGCAGTCATGGGCTACATGACGTCATAGTTGAGCGGTTGAGACGTCATAGCTAAGTGTTGCGAGATGGAAAACGTCGTAAACAAGGATTTTGACAATATTTTTTGGGATCTTTAATAACTCTTGTGGGTGAAAACAAAAAGCAATATCAGTAAAACTGTATGTGAGACGAATACTGAATAAATGGATTTTGAATGCAGAATAACGTCATGACGTCGGACTATTGTGACGTCATAAACGTTAACTGTTCCTCCGTACCATATGACTTTGGCATGTCACACCATCGCACTTTAACGTCTCATATGAAACAAGCCATCGGCGTGACCATCGGACTTTGGCGCCCTTAAAGACAACGATTTATCGGGGTTTGGCGCAGACCATCGGGTTTGGCGTGACCATCGGACTTTGGCGTTACCATCGGACTTTGGAGTCTTACAAATGCATTTCGGTTTATCTCCTCAACATTAAGTATTAAACAAGATTATTAAAGAGAATAAATAGCCATATACCGTAGATATTAATTTGATGTTGATAATTGACCATGTGTTTTCTACCTAATTACACGATTACAAGTGAAATAAATAGAGGATATTCAATGTTTTGTAGTTGAATATGGAATTTATTTCACGAGTGGGACAGGATTTTTTTTATATTTTCACGAGTGCGAAGCACGAGTGAAAATAGCAAAAAATCCTGTCTCACGAGACAGCAGTTTTAGCAGTTTTATTCTATGTCAGAATGGTATATTTATTTTCTAATGGACCAAGGGGTATATTTTTTACAATATTCTTTGTTATTGGAAGGAAAGTGGAGAGTTTTCCCGCACTTCTGATATTTGTCACACTGTGACAGGATATCATTTTGATATCCTTTCACACCGTGACAGGATATCCCTTTTATTCAATGAATAAATTAACAGTATTTCACTGGTAAAATGTAATAAACAGTATTAATGTTCACTGCTAAAATTATACTTTAATGATTATACTTAAAATAATGTGGAATATAATTGCATAAGAAATAAACTTGAGATTCCTGGGAAAAGTTAAGTGTGAATCTCAATATTGAAATTCAACCCTCTCCTCTTAATTTTATCTCTCTCTCTCTCTAGATAGAGAATACTTAGATAAATAGAGATATTTACCTCATCCCAGTACTGGATGTCAGTGTATAACCAGCCTGGGGCTTGTCTGTAAAATGCTGGTTGAGTTATGTTCCTACTAAAGTTTATTTCACAGAAGTTTGCGCCTTTGTAATAATTGACCGATCTACACCTCTTGGTTCTCAGACACTCTTCAACACAGTCCAGTATACTATAGTTCAAGTAAGCTTCTATCATTCTATAGAGAAATCGGTAGCCATATTGTATAGAAGAATATCCAGCTTTCAAATCTCCATGGCAACATAAAATAATATTAAGGATTATAAAAACAGTTTTAAGATATTTGAAGATTTTCATAATTCCTGCTAGGAAAAAGCGATGTTTATGATGATTAGACGAACGCTCTTGATTTTAATCCTCTTCGAGGATATAAAGCATTCAACCTCTGGAATTATGTAAGTTAAATGCAGTGTGAGCTAGGATTTTCCCATTTTGTATATGCCTAGCATTTAATCAATTTTACCAGTATAACATGTTCATAAATAACAAATAAATATATATTGATGTTCTCCTGACGAGGAATGCATAAAAATATTTACATCGTTCTCTTTTTTTCAATTTAGACTGCGTAAAATGTCACTATGAAACATGTATAATAATTTAAATAAACAACTTTTATCTTATTCTAGAAGGAAATAAGGATTTGAAGCATGACAAGTGAATTCATCATATTGTCGTTTTTAATGCCACTTGCCCTTTTCAATTTTTTTTTTAATTTTATATTCACCTTTAAAGCTTACATAACGTTGTTTTTTGGATAAACAAAGGATTATGATTGTTTATTTCGAGCATCAGAGAATAAACAAACAAAAACACTAATTAGGAGACAAATTTGAATAAAATATAGATGTTTGTTATTAAATATGTTAAAGGTTTAAAAATGAAATATAAGAAAAGACACCCTACCAAACAATAGTCCTCCTGATATGTTATGTATCGAAATATAAGGAATTGCGATTACTAGTGGGGTTTTTTAGCTTTGGAAGATCTTATTTTCGGGGGATTTAATAATCGCATTCGGTGCCCTGGTATATAACAAGTAAACTTTCTTACCTTCGCCTATAGATGAATCTGTTGAGGTTGTAAAAATGGAACCATTAGGGATAAATTTGTTATCTAGTATAAAACTGTTGTATTTCGCGTTTGATTTTAACGAAAAAAAAGATACTTTGCCGATATGAAAGTACCAATTGTCAAACAAAAAAAAAATGAAAGGCCTAAGAGCCTTAACGCACATCTGAGTATAGAATAACACTGTAAGGGATTCATAGAAGCCAACCCGGAGGGGGGATTAGATTTCCCTAATTTTACACCTCTTCACCCATACATGTAGATACAAAAATTGCTAGTAATTAGTTCCATTGCTCAGGAGAAGTAGCTAGAAATGTGTTTACAAATGTTAACGCAAGACGACGGACGAAACAGACAGCAATAGATAACGAAAACAAGAGGCCCATGGGCCACATCGCTCACCTGAGCACTGTGGCTAGGAAATGGTAGAAATTGGTTTATTTTTAAAAAGTTTAAATCTTAAAGTAATCCCATGACCAATCATGGCTTTGCCATTCTTGAGAAGAAGATTTGTAAAGAATTTTCCTACATATTTCTATGAAAAACTTTGGTTGGCCATTTTGGCCCCGCCCTACCCCCGGGGGTCATAATTTGAACAAACTTGAATCTACACTACCTGAGAATGCTTCCATATAAATATGATCAATTATAGCTTTTCTATTTTGGAGAAGATTTTTTGAAGAATTCTATATATTTCTATGTAAAACTTTAGTCGTCCACTGTGGCCCCACCCTACCCCCGGGGGTCATGATTTGAACAAACATAAATCTACACAACCTGAGGATGCTTCCATATAAATATGATCAATTATGGCTTTACTATTCTTGAGAAGAAGATTTTTAAAGAATTATCCTATATATTTCTATGTAAAACTTTGATTGGCCATTGTGGCCCCTCCCTACCCCCGGGGGTCATGATTTGAACAAACTTGAATCTACACTACCTGAGGATACTTCCATATAAATATGATCAATTATGACCTATTCTTGAGAAGAAGATTTTTAAAGAATTTTCCTATAAATTTCTATGTAAAACTTTGGTTGGCCATTTTGGCCCGCCCTACCCCCAGGGGTTATGATTTGAAAAAACTTGAATCTACACTACCTGAGGATACTTCCATATAAGTTTCATCTTTCCTGGCACGGTGGTTCTTGAGAAGAAGATTTGTAAAGAATTTTCATATATATTTCTATGTAAAACTTTGATTGGCCATTGTGGCCCCTCCCTACTACCGGGGGTCATGATTTGAACAAACTTAAATCTACACTACCTGAGGATACTTCCATATAAATATGATCAATTATGACCTATTCTTGAGAAGAAGATTTTTAAAGAATTTTCCTATAAATTTCTATGAAAAACTTTGGTCGGCCATTGTGGCCCGCCCTACCCCAGGGGATCATGATTTGAACAAACTTGAATCTACACTACCTGAGGATACTTCCATATAAGTTTTATCTTTCCTGGCACAGTGGTTCTTGAGAAGAAGATTTTTAAAGAATTTTCATATATATTTCTATGTAAAATTTTGGTCGGCCATTATGGCCCGCCCTAACCCCGGTGGTCATGATTTGAACAAACTTGAATCTACACTACCTGAAAATGCTTCCATATAAGTTTCATCTTTCCTGGCACAGTGGTTCTTGAGAAGCAGATTTTCAAAACATTTTCCTACATATTTCTATGAAAAACTTTGGTCGGCCATTGTGGCCCCGTCCTACCCCCGGGGGTCATGATTTGAATAAACTTGAATCTACACTACCTGAGGATACTTCCATATAAGTTTCATCTTTTCTTGCACAGTGGTTCTTGAGAAGATTTTTAAAGAATTTTCCTATATATTTCAATGTAAAACTTTGGTCGGCCATTGTGGCCCCGCCCTACCCCCGGGGGTCATGATTTGAACAAACTTGAATCTACACTACCTGAGGATGCTTGCATATAAGTTTCATCTTTCCTGGCACAGTGGTTCTTGAGAAGAAGATTTTTAAAGAATTTTCATATATATATTTCTATGTAAAACTTTGGTCGGCCATTGTGGCCCGCCCTACCCCGGGGGTCATGATTTGAACAAACTTGAATCTATACTACCTGAGGATGCTTCCATATAAGTTTCATCTTTCCTGGCACAGTGGTTCTTGAGAAGAAGAGTTTTAAAGAATTTTCCTATATATATCTATGTAAAACTTTGGTCGGCCATTTTGGCCCGTCCCACCCCCAGGGGTCTTGATTTGAACAAAGTTGAATCTACACTACCTGAGGATACTTCCATATAAGTTTTATCTTTCCTGGCACAGTGGTTCTTACGAAAAAGATTTTTAAAGAATTTTCCTATATATTTCTATGTAAATCTTTGGTCGGCCATTGTGGCCCGCCCTACCCCGGTGGTCATGATTTGAACAAACTTGAATCTACACTACCTGAAAATGCTTCCATATAAGTTTTATCTTTCCTGGCACAGTGGTTGTTGAGAAGAAGATTTTTAAAACATGCCACCAAATTTTTATTAATTCCCAATTATCTCCCCGTGAATGAGGGCGTGGCCCTTCATTTGAACAATCTTGAATCCCCTTTACCCAAGGATGCTTTGTGGCAAGTTTGGTTAAAATTGGCCCAGCGGTTCTTGAGAAGAAGTCGAAAATGAAAAGTTTACAGACAGACAGACAGACGGACGGACAGACGGACTACAGACAAAATGTGATTAGCAAAGCTCACTTGTGCCTTCGGCTCAGGCGAGCTAAAAAAGAAATCGTTTTTAATTAAGGCATGTGTGTAGATTTCCAAATAAAAAAATTACGTGAACAAGACATTACCGTAAATCTGGAAATTTTTACTGTAGATAAATTTTTAGCAAATTTGCGCGTGCATTGAATTCGCAAAAATATTTTTCTTAAAAATAAATCAACATGCGAAGAATTTTTTTCTGAGAACTCGTGTCTTTTTTTTAACTCAGTGAATAGGTGTCGGTAAGCAGTGGTCATTTTTAAAAGAAACCTGTTTACACTAGTTTGCTATAACTACAAATTAATTACCTGTGCGTAAATTGCCCTCATTATATGCAATATCATCCGATGATTTGACAAGCACTGAGGCGGTATGCCCCTTTTTAATTATTTTAATCAATTAATTTGCCAATAAAGAGAGAACTGTCATTTTATCTAACCGTGTATCAACACGGGCGATAACTCAAACTCAGTGCATTTACTAGAAAGTTCCAAATGTAAACGCGGCGTGTAAATTTTAGGTGAGAAAAACCAAACGTTGAGAAAATTAGTTATATTTTTTCTTCATTTGGATTATACTTTAGGTTAAAAGGCATACACAACCTCTAAAATGTTTGTTATAATTGACTTAGAAATTATTTTCAGTGCAAATCCTTTTGTATTTTTATCAAAATTGTTTCGGAGCGATTTTGCAATATCTTGCCACGTTGTGAGTATATTGGTGATATTCTAACTGGGCATATTATTTGAAACATAACCTGATATGAAAATCTTCAGTGTTTTTTATTTTTAGCACCAGTGACAATTCGCAAAAATTTGAAGCGTAAAAATTAATCATCAGCTTTTTGACCCAAATTCGCAAAAATAAATCGACGTAAAAATTTCCAGATTTACGGTATAACTTTTTAAAGCAGGATCCAACCACTTTATATTATATGATATCAAAGAATATTGATCCTCATCAGGAAATAAATTGGAAATAAATTTTAAAAGACGAGCTCTGATACAAATATATCATCGACCATTGATTATTTTACAAAATCTTATAAGTGTTGCATTTCTTGCATGTAACATGGTGCAAAAAAATAAAGTTTGTTAAGGGGTACAACTTTAACATTTAAAGAAGAAGACAATAAATGGACATTCCCATTATATCAGTCATGCGAGTTCAAAATATTCTAGCTTTTATCGATTATTACTTGTTTGTTTGATTTATTAGTTTTATCAAAAATTGATAGCAGGGAACGCCGAGGATGGATGCGCAGTATTTCCTTCTTTATTAATATTTGACGCTTATGTTGCTCTAAACTTTTTCTTCGCATTATCATGAATATTTTACACGTTTTATGTTGATTCTAATTACTAGATAATTTTTCGGATTTCAAATATAATTTGTATGAGGCATTTAATAAGAACGTATTTGTTTCACATGGCCTCCAGGGAAAGAAGACAGTCGGTTATTCTGTTTGAAATTCTTATTTCAAAAATCATGAT